GGAGTAGCAATGGAGACAAGAGCTCAGGAGCTCAGGCGGGCAGGGACAGAGCCCTTGCTTCAGCAAGAGCGTGGGCAACAGAGGTCAAGGGGGGCCATGCAGCCCGGGATGGCAGAGTGCTCATATGCACAACCTTGGTCCTATCCCCTCTCCCATTGCCTCTTTCGAGCTCACCTTGTTTAAGGCCAAAGCACACACCATCCTCCCACAGAGCCACTAATGCAATTAACAAAACACATTCATAAATCTTGCATGGCATCCGGAGCTGTCTCCTCTCCCTGAGCACGAGGGCCAGCTCCGGAGATGCTGTGCAGAGAGCGGTCTGACCTCTCCTGTGTCAGGGCCCCTTGAAAAACGCAGCATAACCCTTAGTAGGACAGCAAGGCCATCCTCTTCCTGGCAACCCCCATTAAAAAAGTAGAGCAGGACTGGGGTTAGGGAATACAGAGAAATCAGAAGAGGCTTAAAAGGGGGGGATGAAAGCGCATATGTGTTTGCAGGGGGCTGGGGAATAGTTCGTGCCTTCCAAGCTCAAAGAGAGAGCATTCAGCAGAGACCAGAGAAGCACCTCTTTTGGTGGGTGATTTCGCCTTGTGAGGACAGAGCACAGGGTGCGTGAGCCCCAGGGCATCTTGGGCAATGCAGGCGTGGCTTGGCAGCACGTCGGTGTTTGTGTTTGCGTGTGTGCGTGCGTGCATGCATGCATGTTCAGTCTGGAAAACTGGTGACTCACTAAAACAGGGAGCTTTCTGATCTGAAGAGCTTATATTCAGCTATTTTTAGCTCATCTTGTCTCTTGGCCCTTTTTTTCCCCTTGTCTGTTTCAAATTGTAGAGGAGTCTGGAGACCATGAATGCCGTGTGTGTGTCTGCTAATTTAAAGCTTGGGCCCAGAGGTGGGTACCCCAAAAGTGCAGAGATAAAGGCACACATGAGGTGGATGTGTGTACAGCACGCTGACACGGACGGGGTACACATGCTCTTATTCCAGCATGTACACAAGCACACCATGCATACATGCAAGTGACAGTGAGGCCAGAAACATCCCTGGAAACTCCGGCCTACACTCTCTCTTCACGTGGGTTGTTGTACAGCTACCCGCTATGCACACTTCATAAGCAGAACTGCCTCCCCACCCCAGCGTGGCCTTACACAACCCAGGTGGGCACACTCCCGTGAGCACATGGCCAGGCACAGTCTGGGCCTACCTTGGGGAGTGGCCCCAGCCCCTGTGCCTTGTTTATTCTCTGTCCAGCCACTCATCCAAAAAGTATGACTTCTAGGGAAGGCCTTTCTCTGCTGATTGCCAATAGAAATAAGAAGTGCCAGCTTCTGCATTCCACTTCTCCTGGGACTCATTCAGCCAAACCCACCCATCCACCACCATTGGCCCACACTGCCTCCCCGGTCCAGCGACCATCCAGCTATGTGGGGTCTGGCAACTGCTTGGAGGGGCCAGGCAGGGTTCAAATGCTGTGTGAGCTCCATCCCTTTAGCCTGGAAAGAGGGAGAAGGGAGAGTGAGCTCAGACTGCCGTCTGCCTAAGTTGAATGTGGAGCAGGCAGGGAGCGGACTGCACTCCAAGATTCTAGAATGCCGGTGGGTTCCTGGGCCTTGACTCTGTGTAGACGGGACTGTGTATGCAACCCAGTGTCACAGAACAGAAATGCGTGAACGCTGCCTATGACCAGTGCCTCCGTGATGCTGCATGCCTGAGAAAGAGCACCCACAGCCTCCCTTTCCACACAGCACACAGGCTGTGCACTCGCCCACAGCGGCACGTGCCTGCACGCACACACTCTTAGAAGTCTGCGTGAGAGAGAACATGAGCCTTCGTTACTCCAGGCACCAAAGCAAGCTCTGAGCTGCATCGGCGCATGAGTCTGCATTTTATGCACGGCTCACAGGCCCCAGTCAAGGGGGCCAAAACGCAGCTATGTGTTGCTCCTTAAGCTGTGGGGCTACACCAGCCCAGAGGAGGGGTCCCCTGAGTCTTCCTTGCCTGCCGGGAGGCCCTGTGGTTCCTGCTGTCCAGGAGCTCAGCATCAGCTCCTGGAGGAGTCGCTAGCCGCCTACTGCCCCCTTGCATTCCACTCCACACACATTTGGGGGTCCAGTGCTCTGTGCAAAGCACTCCATCTTGTCATTATGAAGGAGGGCCAGCTGCAGTCTCCACCCCCAGACCCCTGCCCCAAGATAGGCTAGCACAGAAGATGCCTGCATGATTAGCCGTGGCAGACCGCGCCACCTAGGTGGCCTGTGGGCATGAGCCGCACAGGAGGGATAATTCTCTTCCTCCTGGGGCCTGGGGTCCTTCATAGAGAAGAGGACAGGGGGCTGTTTGCCTGGGCCCTGAATAATGAATCGATCTCCCCGGGTCAAAGAGGAACGTCTCAGGTAGGAAACTGGCCCGCATGAAGGAGTGGTATTGGGAAGCGTGGACAGGGACTCGTGGGGAGAAATCAAATCTTGCCGGAAAGGAAGCAGAGCTCAAGCCTGCCTGACTTGCCTCGGGCTCTGAGACTCTGGCCTCAGGGAGAAGCAATTTTGAATTGTCTACCTCTCTTCTTACCCCACATGGAAGGAAAAAGTATTTGCATCTTGAAAGATCTGGACCCCTTCTGCCTTCTGAGCATCGGTAAGACAGAAATACTAATAGGGCCTTCCCTATAGAGATGTTTTGAAGATTAAATGAGAGACCTCATGAAAAGCTGTTAGCACAGAGCTGAGTAAGTAGGCATTGTCGTCAGTTATTATAATCCTATCTTACAGGCCACCACACTGATTCTTAACCAATTTTGAGGTCTTCGACAATATCTGGGGACAGGTTTGGTTGTCACAACTTGCAGGAGTAGGAGGGAGGCTACTCCTGGCCCCTGGGTAGGGACAGCATGCTACTAATCACCCGCCATGCACAGGGCAGCCCCCACAGCAGAGCAGAGCCCACCCGGAATGCAGAGAGCACACAGGCTGACAAGCCCTGGGCTGGGGGTTTCACTTTCTGAAGACAGTGAGGTGACTGATTTTCTTTTTTTTTTTTTCCCATTTATTTATTTTATTGCATTTTAGGTTTTGGGGTACATGTGAAGAACATGCAAAATTGTTGCATAGGAACACACGTGGCAGTGTGATTTGCTGCCTTCCTCCCCATCACCTACATCTGGCATTTCTCCCCATGCTATCTCTACCCAACTCCCCACCCCCTGCTGTCCCTCCCCTATTTCCCCCCCCACGGACCCCAGTGTGTGATGCTTCCCTCCCTGTGTCCATGTGTTCTCACTGTTCAACGCCCATCTATGAGTGAGAGCATTCGGTGTTTCATTTTCTGTTCTCGTGTCAGTTTGCTGAGAATGATGGTTTCCAGGTTCATCCATGTCCCTACAAAGGACCCAAACTCATCGTTTTTGATGGCTGCATAATATTCCATGGTGTATAGGTGACTGATTTTTCAAGCAGGGAATGACATAAGAAAATCTAAGTTTCAGAAAGAAAAATCTGGCAAAGTTGTGACATGACTAGAAAGCTCAGCGGGCGCACTGCCGACCTTCAGATGACACTCGGGGGAGGAGGGCTGGGTCCTCGGCAAGACCGGGAGACTGCACTTCCAGGGTCTTGGCAAGAAGAGAGCCGGAGAACCTGCTGAGAGGTAGAGGAAGGAAGGGACAGGCCTGGGGTCACTGGGGTCCCTACAGTTTCCAGCTCTTGGGCCTGGGCAGGTTGTAATGCTGCCTTTAAATGGCATAGGAAGAGAAGACTCCATTTGGGAACTGTGTCCTCCAGGGCCCTCGGTGGGGGGAAGCACCTCCACCAAGCTGTATGTGAGCCATGGCCCTCCAGTCCATCTGTCCCCCTCAAGGGGGGACCACCCTTCAAGAGACCCTCACCCTGCCCATCAGTGCCCAACACATGCCTCTTCTTTCCCACACAGCTCCCTCTGAACGATGGCCAGTGAGGCCCTGCAAGACAGCCTCCCAAGGACGCCAAGCCACCGAGCTGCAGAATGAAGATGATCTTTCTGGGCTCCTCATGTCCAGGCCCTGTCTCATCTTTCAATGTGTTCAGAGTCTCTGCGGCTGCTGTGGGCAGAGAAGAGGTACTGGGGAAGTCCCGGCAGACTTATCGGCAGAGAGACTGAGCCTCCACGCCACCCCAATTCCCCCTGCCCTTTTGACTGAGCTCTGAAGACAAGTTAGAAGAGCTGGGGGAAAAGCTCCAAGCAGTGAACACATCAGCCGGCAAGCATGTGTCACGTCCTGTCTCATGCTCAGTGCTGGGGAGGACATCCCCACAAATACCCCAGCTTGAATTCTCTGGTTGGGAAGGCGAGACTCACAGGTAGAGAACAATCAAAAAACAATTAAAGAGGCCTCTGGCATCGTCTGAGGAGCCCTGGATAGAAGTTAAACTAGAGTTCTATCCCCAGGCCTCGGCCTTGAAGCAGGTCCCTGTACCTGCAAAAGCTCCAGCCCCACCAAGTTATAGCTGAAGTCTCATCGCCTGGACTGTGAATGGCAGTGGTGCTTCTGCCAGTGGGTACTGACTCCTGGAGCACTGTGCCGAGGAGGTGCTCATCGCCTGGACTGTGAATGGCAGTGGTGCTTCTGACCAGTGGGTACTGACTCCTGGAGCACCGTGCCGAGGAGGTGCTCATCTCCTGGACTGTGAATGGCAGTGGTGCTTCTGCCAGTGGGTACTGACTCCTGGAGCACCGTGCCAAGGAGGTGCTCATCGCCTGGACTGTGAATGGCAGTGATGCTTCTGCCAGTGGGTACTGACTCCTGGAGCACCGTGCCGAGGAGGTGCTCATCGCCTGGACTGTGAATGGCAGTGGTGCTTCTGCCAGTGGGTACTGACTCCTGGAGCACCGTGCTGAGGAGGTGCTCTTCGCCTGGACTGTGAATGGCAGTGGTGCTTCTGCCAGTGGGTACTGACTCCTGGAGCACTGTGCTGAGGAGGTGCTCATCGCCTGGACTGTGAATGGCAGTGGTGCTTCTGCCAGTGGGTACTGACTCCTGGAGCACTGTGCTGAGGAGGACTCTGAAGCAGCAGCACGCTTAGCAGGACTGTGGTGGCCAAATGGCGAGGCTCATGGTAGGTGCCACCAGGATGTCACGGGGAGGTACCTCCTGCTTTTTTTTTTTTTTTTTTAGACAGAGTCTCGCGCCATCGCCAGGTGCCAGGCTGGAATGCAGTGGTGTGATCTCGGCTCACTGCAAACTCCGCCCCCAGGGTTCAAGCAATTCTCCTGCCTCAGCCTCCCAAGTAACTGGGACTACAGGCACACGCCACCACGCCCAGCTAATTTTTGTATTTTTAGTAGAGACAGGGTTTCACCATGTTGGCCAGGATAGTCTCGATCTCTTGACCTTGTGATCCACCCACCTCAGCTTCCCAAAGTGCTGGGATTACAGGCGTGAGCCACTGCGCCTGGCCACCTCCTGCTTTTTAATCCTTTTGGTTAAGAGAAACCGACTGGGGCCATTTCTAAGGACTCTTCCAGCTCCCAAATGGGATAATTCTATGATGGAAATGTTACATTTCAAGGCACTGGCTGGAAGCACAATGAGGCAAAGCAGGAAGAGATCTGTGTGGGTTGGGATGATCAGGGAAGGCTTTGGGAAGGAGGCGGCACTTTGGTGCGGCCTCAAGGTGGGGGAGTGTGAGTAGCTGTACCGGAGGTGGGAGGACATTTATGTGCATAAAACTGGGGCTGAGCATGGGCTGTTCTTGGTACAGGAGGGAGGCGGCCGGCATCACTGGAATGAGCTGTCTGTGTTTGGGGCAAGTGTGATTACATATGGGAGCGCACGCTGCCTGAGAGCTTCCCAGGTGGAAAGCCACGGGGCAAAGCTGACGTTCCGTGCATGCCGGCTTCCAGCCCCCACAGCTCATCTTCCAGGTAAATACTCCTCCCAGCCTTCCCTACAGCAGTGTGAGCAGCGGCATTCTGTGACTTGCTCAGGGCCAGCTCTGGCAGGTGCGAATCCAGCGTTCAGCCTGGGCAGTGCGGTTCTGATGGCTGCAGGCATAACTTCTCTGCTCTGGTGCCTTCTCCACTCTTAGAAGCTGGCCAATGAGGAAACCCAGCAATGCCGTTGAGACACCATGGCCGGATCTGTGGATTCTAAGGTCCAGGAAGAGGCAGGAACAGCTGTAGACTGAGGAAGGAGGGCCTTGCTTGAGTCATCAGTCACATAAACAGATCCAAGGCAAGAACAGGGCAAGGTGGGCACAGATGAACGAGGTGCTGAGTGCCATGGGCTAGGGCTTGTTTTAGACTTCCCCCAAGTCCTAAATAATCTACTGGAAACAACAAAAATGTCCCAACACTATAGGAACAGGCAAGAAGGTGTGGGAAGGCATGAAATCCCAGGGACTTGGGGCTCAGCTTGTGACATGGGAACAGAGCAGCCTGCCACTGTATTACCGCAAGCCCAGAGGCAGAAGGCGACAGCCGAAATGACAAAGCTTAACCCTGCCTTAGCCCAGGGCTGCAGCCTCCAGCCATCTCCACACTGGCCCCGCCTGGCCCCTGGTGGTGCACTGAGGAACTTTTGCTCTTTCTCCCTCCTTTCCCAGCCCTCTCTCCGGTTCAGGGATGGCTCCAGCCTCCACTCAGCTTGGCCTCTATGGCACCCAGAAGGTCCTGTTGCGCACTGCACTGCCCCCAGGCCCCTAAGCAGGGAAAGAGGCTGTGTCTCCTCTTGCTTGCTTCACCTCTCCCACCACGCTTGTCCCCACCCATCCAGGAATGGATCTGAAACCAGCCTGGGTAGGAAACTCTCCAGCCTCTCTCCCAGACAGCCTCGCACCCCTCCCCCGCTTGCTGCGATCCCACTCCATCTCAAGTTCCCTCTGTGGTCCTCCCTTCCGGTTTCTCCCTCTGGCCTCCGGGAGGCCTCTAGCGCCTACACAACTTCCTGGCATTGAGGAAGGACCAGAGCTGTAGCTTGGGACTTGGAGATATCAGAACCACCGGCTAGTCCTGCTCTGCCAGCATCCCCTCCTGCTGTTCAGTCTATGCTTGATAACTAGAGGCCTGATTTTGAAACTGTTTTGGGGCCACTGGGTCAGACCAGCCCTCCTCACTGTCAGGAAATGTATCCTCATTTCTTACCTTAATTTCTTAACTGCATCCGTTCTTCCTTGTTCTGGGAAGTCACCCGGCGTGATGCTGCAATGATGCTACTCCTTAGCACTCTGCTTCCCAGCCAAAACAATGCTCCATCTCATCTTTTCCAAAGCTTCCGGCCCCAGCAGTTCTCGGACCTGCGGTACTTTCCTCCCTGTAAGTAACAAAGGCGGACAAGCCCCAGCTTCTCTAAGATGCCTTCAGCTGCCTGGAAGAGGCCTGTGGAAGGCCCTGCAACTCTCCACAGACCTCGGGGCGTTGCTGTTGCTTCCCAGTGGCCCTGGCCCCCTCAGCCAGGTGAGTCACCATGATCCTTGCTCCTCCCAGACCTGAAACCTCTCCTCTCCCATCCTCCCTTCTCTTTGTTTCTCTTTGCATCTCTCTCTGTTAGGCGCACGGGCGCATGCATGTCCACACACAAACATTATTTCAGGCCCTATCTGGAGCTGTCACTGACAGAGCTCGAATTGTGATAGGCAAATTGGCTTTGGTGTCAGAGACAGGAAGCCCAGTGATGCATCTCCTGGTGCCTGGAGAGTGAGGAGATACGAGAGCAGAGATACGCTGCCTCGGCCAGCAGCATGGGAGCAGGGACCGCGGCCGGGGAAGCAGGTCTTCTGTGGCTGGGGCTCAGGCAGCGGAGTTCTGAGGTGCTGGGGAGCCTGCTTGATTCTCACCCGCCACGTGATATTGGATACAAAAGGAGGATGGGCACGGCTGAGAGCGCACGCAGCCCTTCCTGAGGGCTTCTCTAAAACAACCCAAGTTCTTTCCCAGTGGGAATCAAACATCTACAGCAGGGACCCTTAGCCCCCAAATGCCACCTCCTATACATAGTGCTGGTCACCAGCCCTGGCAGTTAGGAGGGGAGGGGTGAGAGCCGCCGCCGAAAGAGAAGCAGCCGTTCTGATGCCATCATACCTCTGCTTGTCCCCATTACATAAAGCTCCAGCTGACTTGGCGTAATGACTAAGAAAACTTTCCAAACTTTCCGAAGACAGTTGGTGATCCTCTACCCTACCAGTGACTGGTGAGAACTACCCCCACAGAGAGCCAGCAGAGAGGAAGGCTCCCAGCTCCGGGGCCTGACTCATCGCACACACAAACACTCCCCAGCACTCTTTCCCAAAACAGTTCCCCTCCCACCTATCCACCCTCCTGCCGGGGCTGGGTGACAAAAATGAACGCCCCAGAGATCTTGCCAAGTTCTGGGCCAAGCTTAGCCCAAGGAACATGAAATTCCCCATAGAATGGGAAGAGCAGACCCCACCCCCTCCAGAAGCAATGTCCGTTGGAAGGAAAATCACCACCTGATTCTACAATGATCACTGTATTATTTTCCAAATAGTTTGGACTACTTTCCCCCAAAGAAGAATTCAAGGTTCTATAATCATAAAATATTAGCGCTTAAGGCAATCTGAAAGGTCAACTTTACCCCCTCTCCCCTTCCCTACTTCCATGCATCCACACAGCCATTTATTTCTCTATCTGTTCATCAGATAGTTACTGAGCCCCTACAATTTGCCATGTGCAATGCAGGCAGTGGAGACTTCACATACATTGTGTTTCCTCAAGGTGCTTGTCATCTAGTAGGTGGGAAAGCAAGTGACAAGGCATTGGAATAAGTGTGACAGCCAAGGTGGTGGGAAGAGCGCATGTTCTGGAGGTACTGAGGGAGCATGGCACCCCGACCTTGAGCCAGTGGGAGCATTCATGGAGACACACTGGGAGATGTCATATATACATAATAAATATAAAAATATATTATAAGTAAATATATAAAAATAAATATATATTATAAAATAGATAACTATATTCTATAAAATATATAATGTAATATATATATAATTTTTGAGGCAGAGTCATGCTAGAGTGCAGCGGTGCAATCTCGGCTCCCTGAAACCACTGCTTCCTGGGTTCAAGCGATTCTCCTGCCTCAGCCTCCTGAGTAACTGAGACTACAGGCACATGCCACCATGCCCAGCTAATTTTTGTATTTTTGGTAGAGACGGGGTTTTGCTATGTCGACCAGGCTAATCTCGAATTCCTGGCCTCAAGTGATCTGCCCACCTCGGCCTCCCAAAGTGCTGGAATGACAGACATAAGCCACTGCACCTGGCCTGGGAAAAATTATATTTAAGTTGAGCTATGAAAACTAGGGAAATTCTTTTTCATTCAACAAGAGGTCTGCTCAACACTGAATACAGCTAAAGCATAATGTTCGGCACGCTGCATGATGATGAATCTAACATGGTGTTCACACATAGAGCTGAATGCCTGGTGAGGGACACACAGTAAAGGTACACGTGACTAGAATAGTTTATGCTCCCAACAAGAAAGAAAAGATCAAAGTTGAGGGATGGCCATCTCAAGTAACCTGACTTAATCATCATACGTTATATACATAGATGAAAATATCACATGAACCCCAAAATATCTACGACATATCAAATAAACAGAATATACCTTGAAGTACCAGATAATACTCCCAAGAGAAGGATCCATGGAGTCCCAGGGAGGCTTTCAGAGAAGGTGAGGTGAAGTTCCCAGCTGGGAAGACTTGCAAAAGCCCCTGGAAGAAATTTAGGTTCACCTTGAGGATGGATAGGATTTAAAGGCACAGATGGCTGGGCACAGTGGCTCACACCTGTAATCCCAGCACTTTGGGAGGCCGAGGCAGGCAGATCACCTGAGGTCAGGAGTTCAAGACCAGCCTGACCAACATGGAGAAACCTCGTCTCTACTAAAAATACAAAATTAGCTGGGTGTGGTGGTGCATGCCTGTAATCTCAGCTACTCAGGAGGCTGAGGCAGGAGAATCGCTTAAACCCGGGAGGCGGAGGTTGTGGTGAGCCGAGATTGCACCATTGCGCTCCAAGCTGGGCAAAAAGAGCAAAACTCCTTCTCTTAAAAAAAAAAAAAAAAAAGGATTTAAAGGCACAGATGGAGCAGGAAGGGCACTCTGAGGAAAAGTCACGCTGCCCGCAAAGCATAAGAATCAGTGATGGCTGGGGGAAGAGGAATACACCAGTCTGAGCAAGGCACGAAACAGGCAGTAGGAGCAGACACAGCTTGAACATGGGCAAAGCCTTAGGACAACTCTTACATTTAAAGCCAGGTCCTGAAGTTTCTCAAGGCCACAGAGTGAGGAGAAGAGCAGGACTTCTGACGTGAACTGCAGAACTCCTGCACAGGTGACAAACATGCACTTTCCCCTTCGTCACGCTGGGCCCCTACCTGCTGCAGGAACCCTGTGGCTGACTCCTCCCTCCCCAGGGGGGTCTCTGGATGCACAGCAAGGAGACCCCAGGCTGACAATCCAGGCTGTTCCACTCTAGTAGAACAGCTTTTTAATTTTTTTTAAATAAGTACATGGCCAGGCAAGGTGGCTCGCACTTTTAATCCCAGTAACTTTCAGAGGCTGAAGCAGGAAGATGGATTGAGCCCAGGAGTTTGAGACCAGCCTGGGCAACATAGTGAAACCTCGTCCTACAAAAATTTTAAAAATTATCTGGAAATGGTGGCACACACCTGTGGTCCGTTACTTGGGAGGCTGAGGAAGACAAGGGCAGGTGCCCAGGAGTTCAGGCTGCAGTGGGCTATGGTGGTGAAACTGCACTCAGCCTGGGTGACAAAGTGAGATCCCATCTCTACAACACAATCAATCAATATTTTTTAAAACTCTCTTGAAGAGGGCAGCAAAATTCACCTCACCGACTGAGCTAGGGTCTCAGTCTGGCTCCTGATCAGCCCTGTTTGACATATTTGGAATTCTAATGGCTATTTTTTCTTCTTCCTCATCTCCACCTAAATACACTGACTTGAAGCTTTCAGTCTTAGCCCTTTATTGCTTTATGCATATGCCCAGTTGAGGGCTCAAGTCTTTCTGGGTATCTCTGCTTAAGACTGCAAGTTTTGGCCGGGTGCGGTGGCTCACGCCTGTAATCCCAGCACTTTGAGAGGCCGAGGCGGGTGGATCACGAGGTCAAGAGATCGAGACCATCCTGGTCAACATGGTGA